AGAGAGAGAGAGAGAGAGAGAGAGAGAGAGAGAGAGAGAGAGAGAGAGAGAGAGAGATGGCGCGGAACAAATCCAGATGGCACGCAGATAACCGGGGTCCACACCGGCCCGCACGCCGTTTCAGGCCTGGGTCCACTGTTTCAGATTCGAATTTCAAGGCCCTGCGGCACGCACACCGTTTCAAATTTTTTTGGACTGCGGGGTTCCCAGGAAAACGCCACGGACAGCTACTGGTCCTGGATTTGCTTGAACTGCCGCCCCCCCCCAAATGCCTGTGCCGTTCATTTTACCAGCCTTTGAACGACCAATGGGCCCGAATGAACGACCGGTATAACGAACGACGACGAAAAATGTCTCAGGGGCATAAAACGCACCCCTGACGGGCTGGGAACAGAACCACGGACCGCCCCTTATTGCTGCCCTGGCTGCACTGTTAAAGGGTTTTCGACCCCTTCAGTTTAGGCGGCTCTTCAGTTTAGGGGTTACCTTCCATAACGAAGTTTACAACCGCCGCCTCGACATCTGGCCATCCCAGTCACAGCTACATGCACACAACAACTGTTCAGGGGTTTTTGACCCTTCAGTTTAGGGTTTTTTTACCCTTCAGTTCAGGGGTTACGTCCCATAATTTGTGTGAAGTATACGCCCCCCCTTACATTTGGGACTCACACAAGATACTATGGGTTAAATAGATTTGAATGGGTTAGGAAAGCAACCCTCAGGCCTAGATTGACATTCACAGGGGAAGCGGAGACTTAAGACTGCCTTGAGAAATTGGGAGAGTAAGATCCAGAGACACTTCTCTGAAAGGGACTAAGGATATAGTCTTCAACTCAGGTCAGGTTCACCTTTTCCGAGGACGAACATAGCACCAGAGTGGGGAGGGCCTTAGTCTGGCAGTAAGCACTATCCAACGACGAACATAGCACCAGAGTGGGAGGGCCTTAGTCTGGCAGTAAGGAGGGGGGGAGGGGGGGCGGGCTGCCCCTTAGTCCAGCAGATGAAGGGTGGGATAAGATGAGCAAGATCCAGAATGTAAGGGGTTTGGGCCAGGACCCCATTGCTACTGTGTTCAAACTGCTGAGGAAGCACGAACCTGGCGATAATATCCCTCCTTAGTCTACGAGCAGGGAGCTATGTACAGAAAAGAAATTCATGCCAAAAAAGGATGAACATGGACGTTGTTATGGACAGGTTCATGTTTTCCAACTGTAAACATAGCACCAGTGGGGCCTCAGTCTACAAGCACAAAGGAGATGAACGAGATGCAGGAGTGTTCACGGGAGGTAGCCAGCTCCTTAGTTTCCTAATCTGGACATAATTAAGACTAGCTGCATGCTTTCTAAGGACCAAGATAGCACTAGGCGTGAAGATAGCAGTAGGGGATCTGAAGGGCTTATCATCCCGCAGGGCTCATCGGCCATCTATAACCCATTTGTCAGTCCGTTAGGGGCTACCGTCTTCCCCCTAATAAAACCCACAGCCCTTATCGCCGCCGTATTTAGACTGAAAGTTGCCCCAAGTACAATGACCATTTGTTCTATTGGGGGGAAGATGGTAGCGCACTGACCATGTATGTTTCTTTTTTCTCCCAAATCCAATGCCCCCTTCCTGGGATTTGCGAAAAGCAGCACCCTACGATGTTTATGACAAAGTAGAATTTGATGTACCCGTAGGTACACGAGGAGATTGTTATGATCGTTATTGTGTCCGCATTGAAGAAATGCAACAAAGTCTTTGAATCATTGTCCAATGCTTGAATCAAATGCCTAGTGGCATGATCAAAGCGGATGATCATAAACTTTGTCCTCTCCTCCTCTCCCCCGCCCCTGGCAAGCCACCCTTCTCCCTGCTTTGTGTTTTAGCTGAAGTGAGAAGAGTCACAAGCATCCACCCTTCATTATGACATGGATCTTTTTCGGCAAAAAAAGAAAAAAGAAAAAAGAAAACAAAAGAGAAGAGTCACAAGATATGCACGAAGGTGTGCAAAAATTAAAATTTTTCGCATTGCTTCTGAGCATTTGGGAATGAACATGACCGAGAATCCCTCCAAATGCATCTGACAGGCTAATTATTAAAACGAAAGAAAAAACAAAAGAGTTGAAATAAAATTAACAAATTTAAATAAACAAATAATTTATTAAAAATTTTAAATATATTTTGGAAGGGTAGTTATGAACAAATACCATTGTGACAAGTTCCCCGTCTCCGGCCCTAAATTTTTTTCCTTATTTTTTTGATAAGGGGGTGGCCCCTAACATTACTTTATCGACCTGATTCCATCAGGGTCTAAACTCATGACCTGTTCAATGATTGCATGTGTGGACCGCCACTCAGCCAAACAGGCTTGGTTCATCATCGGTCACATGCCCTGGATAATTTGTCGTCCCTATTTGTGCAAGAATTAACAATGAAGGGTTCTTAGACGTACAATAAAAGCATACATGTAGTGAGCAACCTTCCCCCGGCAGGGGTACGTCACTGCATGCACACCTGGGTGTGATCATGAATCTGGACAAACTTACGGTCGGATGTGTGTGTATCACTTCCTGGTTGTGACGGAGGCAACATCAGGCATCTGCAAACGTGAGAGCCGATCCTCCGAGAGACAGACAGACAGACAGAACGCAGGCAGGCAGGCAGGCAGGCAGGGAGGCAGGGAGGTAGACCGACCGATCGACCGATCGACCGACCGAACGACCAAGAGACAGAGATAGACAGAGACACAGGCAGGCAGAAGGCAGGCACGCAGGTACGCATGAAGGCAGGGAGGCACACACCAATACAGATGTGTGTGTGTGTGTGTGTGTGTGTGTGTGTGTGTGTGTGTGTGTGTGTGTGTGTGTGTGTGTGTGTG